AAAAAATATCAGGTGAGCTAATGCGGCTACAAGAACCAACGGGATCGACAGCTTATGAGAAAAGCGCCATTTGTTTCCGATTAATTACATATATTTAGATACAAACTTAGGTCACACACCTACACCTTAATGCTGCACTGCAACACGCTAACAAACGGTCCGTTGTCGAAGCCAAGTACTAATTAAATGTTGAGAATTGATCTTGCGCATCAATATAAATTTGTAAAATCTTCTGAGTTCTTTATAAATTAATCGTAAAATTTAAATTTACGACTTCCTAAACATATTGTTTTCTGTAGTTCAGTATTTTTATGGCCTTTGTCTGGCATCCCTTCCAGGAGTCGATGACACTAAACTACAAATGACGTTACGTGCAAACCTTTACCACCAAAGTGACGCTACACTTTAGGCTTTTGTAAAAAAAATTATTTTATTATGAATAACGACTCACACGTAACTAAAAGAGAAGACTCAGTAGTGTATTGCCGTCAACATTATGTGCCAGCCAAGTAATGTACTAATGTATAGACGGCATCAAGAATAAATATGCTCGGGACTACTCTTCTGAAGATCTGTGTCCTTCTCTACGGACGTCGGTTTTGACTTTGAACTGCACCTAGTATTTTATAGTCGTAAATTTGTTGTAAAATGTAAGAAAAGTGTTTTATGCAGAGAAACGACAGAGTTGTGATTAAGCCGACTGAAAATATAAACTAGTACCATTATCCGACATAAATGTGGTATTGCCACGTGTGACTATATTTCCCTGGGATCACCAATTTCGTGCAATAATTTAGGCATGTGTACAAGTGCAGAACGGCACTATGGCCCAACTTATACTGAACTATATTCGAAACTTTGAGACGTGTGACTCGGAGACTAACAGGTCGTCCGCTCACGAAGTACTCAACTAGTAGAATAGGACCTGGATTGACGAGCATGGTCCGGATCGGCAAGTCGGATTCAATGGGTACCTCTAGAACGGCGGATTCTCCTTGGTCGTAGCATCCTGGCCTTGGGTCTCAAAAGGGACTTCAATGGAGCGATCTGCTTTTAGTCCGAGCATCATGTCCGCGAGACGAGGCCTCGTCCAAACGGCAAGTTCTGTATTCAATTGGTACCTCTGATGGGCCATTCTCTCGGTCGCACCATCCTGGGCCTGCCTTTAGGTCTCAAATGGGACTTCAATGGTTCTGAGCGATTCGCTTTTAGGCCGAAGCATCTGTCCGAGTCCAGTCTGCAAACCAAGGACTTCAGCGACGTCAGAAGAACTAAAGAAAGTTTGAGAGTAGTTGGTAACCTGGTTAATTTCCACCACTACTAATCCACTTCCTCCGAAACTCTACAGAGGTGTGTTTATGTTGAGTTCGTTTGGCTCGTTGTCGTTTACTAGTGACCACTGTCAGTTAATGGTACTTATTCACATAGGTTTTCCTGTTTGCTCTGGTCCTGTCTTTCACTTCTTTTATACGAAACATAACAGGACTAATAAATAGAAATTAACGTACAATACGGAATACTATGATCGACTGTATATAAATAAATGATGGTTCCTCGTACGGTGGTTGATTGCTATAAGTTTCTAAATTATTTATTCATTGTTACCTATAAAAGGAAATCTTCAATTATTCGACAAAATATTAAGATGTAGTATCGATGTCGTAGTTTGTGCCAACCTACTAACTGTACGGTTGGTCCCCCGTAGGTCTCGTGGAGTTTATTTATAAAACACTTACCATTGGGACACAAGAAATACTTTCTTTGATCCGATGTTCAGGGGACATGGAATTTAAATAAATTTCAGGGAATTTATAATAAATCGAAAATTAATTAAAGAGAATATAAATTTGATTATATTAATATTGACAATAACAACCGACCGTCGGGGTAGCATTTGCTTGGCATTTCAGGGTATATATCCACTGTTTGGGCCATGTTAACAATACCATGTAACTGTCACGTTTGAAGGGACGAAATAATGACATCTTCACGTCTCCCAGCATGGTAAATCGTCACATGTTCACGTCTTGCCGTGATACCGGGTTGGTCATATTACAGGATAAAGGAAATACAGAAAAACTGCCGTTGCAGGAAAGGCGGCCGGCAAAAAATCAACTGGCTGTGTGAACGTGAAAATTAATAGAATATCACCTCACATCTTCAGAGCAATATGACTATTATAACATTACCGTTAAGAAAGCTTACTTAAATATCTGCCACAACATAAGTAACCGGATCAAAGTAACAGGTACAGTCACAGTCTGTGAGTGCAGACTTGGATGTGTCCCATTATCCTTCATATCACATCATAATGTATCATATATTTCCTTATCTGAGTCAGCTTCTTGAGCAGTATCTGGCCGTGCAACACTTAGTGTCACATACTGAATGCAGAAGTATTATTTTAAGCAACACATTAAGTTGACAAAACATTCAAGTAATTAAAGTCAGATCCACTCGTCTCTAAGACGGAGCAGTGATATCATAAACCTGTTAATGTACGCATTCAAACACTTTTTCTTTTACCAGCTGTATTCACCTTGCAGCTGCAGCTATGTGGCTTTTATCCTGGATAAAGTGTTTAAGTCATGGATCTTTAAAGTTTAACTTCTTCATATGTCTAATATTATAGTTTACTTTTCATTCAGGAAGTATGACGCTGCGCTGTCAGTACACTTGTCCATGTTTGTGATTGGTCAAATGTTGCTAACCCCGCCCCTTTCATATGAACGCGCACTCATCCGGACAGAGAAACCCTGGCTTGAGTTACCGAGTTGATAACCAGCGTCGTAGGACCGCTTAGCGAGATCGCGTTTGTTTTGGGTTAGTTAAGATAACTCAAACATATCCAGGGTATGTTGAACTGGATTCGTAGTACAGGCCTCTGGTGTCCTTTGTCCAAGACGTTATCAAAAAATAAATGCTGAGATCCAAAAATGCGTTCAACAAAATCATCAACTTATTATAACGTGCACAAATACATATTTTCAGAATTATTCAGCAGTGAAAAGGTTGCGTTCAATGAAAACTACAGCGACCCTCTCTTCCACACACACCTCACACAGGTGAACAGGGGGGTTAACTACGAAGCAGGATTTTCGCTTAGCCGGCTAACTTCAGGGAAAACTCGGGGTTTCCGTTCCTACGAAGCTGGTTCTCTTTTTAACTAATAACAAACCTACAACTACGTCTACTAAGTAATACAAGACACAATCTTTACAAATCCCTTGCATTGTGTGTACTTACTTCAGGCCACACACACACACACACACACACACACACACACACACAACACACACACACACACACACACCGCTTGTCACTATTTTCTATGTATAAAAAACGAGAAACGTCTGTTTTATTTCTCTTGAAAGTTAATTTACACATCACCCTGCCCGATGAAGTGAGACATGGTGCGATTGTGCGTCGCAGTATGAAGGACTTACTTTCAGTTGATATTATAATCTGAAATTTGTGAGGTACTGAATTGCGACATAGAGGTCCTATTTTCGGTGTATCAACGTCTACGTTCCACTCGACCATTTTCTTTTTCCCAACTTACGCATTTAATTGTCCAAAATACTATAGTGACGGGTAGATTCTGTGCTCACCTAGACTGAAATTAATTAAACAGAGCTCACAAAGCAGTTGAATTACACAACTCAATTTTATTATGAAGACGTATGTCGATACACTTGTGACACTCACAACGTGCCGGTCTATGCCGAGTCGGACTGAGTCTATTCCTTTATATACTATGTACTACACTATACGGCGCCTGACATGGAATTACAATGGACTAGGCCAATGAATACAACACCGTCTATAAATATTCGAAAGAATTTGCGATTACAATATTATCAGGTCTAACGATGTACTTCTTACCCTCACTATCAAGATAATTAATCCCTACGTGCTTATATAGCCGTGCTTTGCTTTTAATAGGCGGCTATTTACCAATTTTTTCCTGGGAAAGCGGAAAGCCCGAAACAGCCCACAAGAAAACTAAAGTTCACCACCTCATTTAGGACGTTCACCACTTTATGAAACGTTCGAATGTGGGGACAAGTCGATTGTGCACATGTTTAGCGTTAGGCGGCGAGAGACTATAAAAATTTATAGAGGTTCGCCGTTCTGTACAACGACACTCGGTCGGCGCTCGTACCAGGCGCGCGCACGAACAGCGGCCAAACTAATGCAGGTAGTGTTGTTGTGCAATCGAATGGTTAAATATTCCACGTAAACCAACACAACTTCCGGACCGACAATTCAGAAATAAATGTGGATAAAACAACATCCGGATGACGGATCTACCAAAATACGTCAAAATTTCGTGGAACCGAAACAAGACTAGCGTGAACCACATCAATAATGTCTCTTTTCTTTAGTGAACTGAACCTTAATTAGCTATGACATACGTTAAGTTTTCCACGAACACTTATTTACAAAAATAGCTTGGGTATTATCACCTAATAATAAATTCAATTCAAAACCGGTATTAGTACAGAAAAAGTATTAGTCCATGACTTGTTGTAACCATTTATATATATGAATATATATAATATATATATATATAATAAGATAAATATTGAACAAGCCGTAAGCCCAAAAGCCGTTGACAAAGGGATAAAGCCATAGCCGAAAGCCGGATTCTTTAAAAGGGTATAGCACGTGGGATGATAATTCAAGAGCAAGTGTGTCAGCCGCTAAAAACGGCCGAGAAAGTACGTTGCCAGCAAAAGACATAAAGGAAAGAGGATAATATACTGAACAGCGAAAATTTGAGCGCGTGTGACTCGAGACTAACCAGTCGTCCGCACGAAAGGACTCAACTTGAGAATCGGAGTGGATTGGACGAGGCCCGTCCAATCGGGCGTGCGTATCTCAATTGCGTACCTCT